CCTAATTTCTTCCCTGGCATGCCCCGCCCGTCCTCTCTCCTAAAATCACTCGTTCGTTTGCCTGCGGGGCGCGCTTCACGCTTTCCCCAGACGACCCCACGACACAATCCTACCTATTAGCAGTATATAGTAAACTAAGTACAGAAAACTTTACCTTAAACAATTTAGCATGTCAGGAAGTTCAAATGGATACCAGATTCGCAAAGCAACTGCTCAGATCGACTTTTCACAAAATATAAGTGGATAAGGATTACTCGTATGGTCCCGGAGACAGGATATAGACACAGGAAACGCCCGTAATACAGGTAATTTTGCTCGGGTTAAGTGTAGCTTCAGATTTAAGGGCGGGGTTAAGCTTAGGATTGCAGTTAAATTTTGGGGTATTGTTGGGGGTAAGGCATGGAAATATTTGCCCTTCCTGCAATTTAACCCAAAATCATCTGTATAACGGGCGAGGGGAGGATGTTCCTACTCCCGTGTCCCAAATAAGTATTCCGGATCGATCGATGTTTCAAAACGGAACCTGGCAACTTTTTCTCGAACCCGTAAGTTTTGTAGCTCCTCCTCTAAAAGTTTCTACTAAGGGGCGCGCTTTAAAAAATGGGTCACAGTTTGTGAACGAGTCCTGGATTGGAGGTTAAACAAAACAATTTGGCTAATTTATTTTTGCTATCGATACATCCTTGTCAGGCCTTTACATTTGCAACGCTATGTAACTAAATAAAATATGCAGGAAAGTAGAAAAAAGACGGTCATTTATTCCCTGGAAAGAGGGTAGGATACATGGTTGCCCTAACCAACAGGAGCACACCAATAAATACTGTGCTCGATTCTTCGAGTTGACTTATGCAATGTTAACTCTCCATCTGAAAGTTTGGACCACGTTTCAGAAGTTGACTGATCTACTATTCAAACGATAAATTGATGAGCATACGCTGACTTTCGGTAAATTCTCCTCAGGCCTTTACATTTATACAATTATGTAAATAAGTAAAATATGCGGATTTGTAGAAAAACCGTGCGGTTGTCAGGGTAGGGGGGAGCTGGGGTAAGTAGCCTTATCAACGTCAGGGTTACCGGACGCCGAGAAGGGTACATCGCTGCGGGCGGTTGAATTTTCGACTTTTGGCCATGGTAACTGCGACGTCTTTACGAATTTTTCTTGGGCACACAAGACCGGTTTGCTTAACCTAATTGCAGCTGCTTCTGCCTTAGCCAACATACACTGTCCAAATAATTTTGAATAGCCTGATAGGACCTTGTAAATCATTCGGAAATACTCTCTGGCATCTATGCAATGATCTGAGTCCACCGTATATGCTAGAATGGAGCTATTGATATTCCTAACCACGCTGGAAGGTGTCCTCGTATTCCTCTAGGCAAAAGCCGGCTCGGGTGACCAGTATATTATGTCCCACAGGAGCAGGTAAATGAATAGATGCACATAGAGATGGTTTGGACTGGCAGTTTTTCCTTGACCTATTGCTATTATTCGGGACTAACGTTACGCTCGCCGTCCAATGGTAATTTGGCGTCCAAAGTCTATTGGGATGTTTGATGCAGATTATAATGCTTTCTGATTGATGAAAGCTCATCATGGTTTCACGCGGCGAAAATGGGTTCTGCCGGATTAGGCAACTAGAGTGTACTGGAGGCTTTGAAGGTTTCTTCCTTCGCTGCATTTCCGGATTTATTTGGCGTGCCTGTAAAGTGTTTTCGTCATCGAGTGTGTGCTCAGAAGACAAACCAATATATTCCACTTCCAACAAGTCGTCCAACCTTACCCCATGTTTAAAACACATACAGCGTCAACGTCTCACCTCTTTGATGTCAAAATGGAGCCCACGGATAAGAAAATTGGGATCGAAGGCGATTTCAAGTAGCTCGCGTGGATACTACAAAAGAAGAGGAGGAAAGAAAACAGCAATGCCAATACCAGTAGGGATGGCGTGTGTGCAAAAGCGAAAGCCGATGTGGAAGTATGTGACTGCAAAAAAAAGTGCGGCACGGCACAAACGCGAAAAGAAACACCAGGGCCTAACGCCAAAAGCATGCAGCAAGAGAGAAGGAGAAGAAAAAGTAACAGTCACTGTTATTTCCAGTTGAACAAGTTGGAAATTCTGCACGTCGATTTCTAGTGACTTTCTGCTAGACCGACTTTAATTGTTTCCCTCTTAGGAAAGGCTGTTCCCTCGACCTCTGAACTGCGTGCCCCAGTTCCCTTTCTCCAATAATCCTGTTCTTGTTGACCCCTTTACTTCCAGTCGAATGCACACTGGTGTTAAAACTAGTTCCCTAGCCAAGTACCATTTAAGTGGTGCTTGAACATTGTCCCACCCCCATTTCGGCTCTCTTGCCTTTTTATCGCCTTTTCGCACAACGCTTCTGCCCGCCCCCACTGCACCAAGAGACACCTGCTTCAAGAGCTACTTGCTACTGCCTCCCCCTCCCGCTCTGGTTCGATTACAGCTGTCACCATCGCTGACCTCAAACGCTTGCAATTCCTTCCCCCTTGTCGCCACAGTATTGCCTCTGTTCACATCCACCCCCTCCCTTCGCGCTGGTGTTTTCAAACCAATCCTGAGGCCATAGGAATTGCCTCCTGAAATCATATGAACACTCAGAACCACGTCCCCTCTCCCACTAACACACAAGCTTTCCTAAGACTAGTTTCGCCCTGCGTGACGTTATTGTTGAACTTGTGTTGTTCCCTTGTATGGAGTCAGGCGAGTTGGCCGACTCCCTTCGCTCTTGGCTTGGTGTATCCAACGGGACCCGGCCATATTTTCAAGATTGACGAGGCCGAAATCCTCGCGAGAAGTGACAACCGCGTGAGCCGCGAGCTGCTCGAGTCATGGTTCTCAGGCTCCCA